CGAAATTGCACGTGCGAGCGCCGTTCACATGTGAGCTTTTCTCTCCGCAAGCATAGCTTACGGCTAGCCCTTCGAGAACCTTCTTAGCTCTCTCATACCCAGCTTTTGGAGGGGTAAAATAGTTAGGCTAAGTGCATGCTGCACAGAACAAAAGTGCATTCAAAGTTGGAAGACTTAATTAATGTGCGTACAGAACATATAAAAAGAAAAACGTGGTGAAAATTCTGCAAAACCATAAAAGGGAACATAAACCCAATAAAAACCATTTGAAAAGTGTTGTGGCTGCAAAGAACAAAAACTACAAACCAAACCCTGGATAAGGTACGCAAAGAAAATGAAAAAGTGACCTTATTACATAATTTCACGTATGTACTGTACATAGGTTATGATCCACGTGTGGCAGAAAATTGCTGACCTGGCCTGACCACCCCTCAAGGAGGGGGGGTCCGCTTCATGACGATCATCAGTCCTTCTTCTTGGTGCCACCGGACCTTGCCTGCAGGCATAGAAACGGATGGACTTGGCGATCGGAACCGAGCCGTTTATACTCACGCGCAATTAAGCCGCTCAACAACAACGACAATATAAAACCATCTAAAATATTATATCACCGCGCCTTGTGTAAAGAAAATGTTGGTGCTTGCACATGTAGGGTGTGGAAAAATTAGCTCAGCGGTCATTGCCCTTGCGGCTGACCATACACCTATGCGCATTTAACTAGACCCACCTGACCGTATGTCACCTATTCTCTCCTTCTCTCAGGTTATTAAAATTGTTCGATGCCGACATTCTAAAAGCCACTTAAGGGAAGAAAAATAAATCACAAAATCTAGAAAAGAAAATTTAATGAAAAGTTATGGATCGAAGAAAAAAATAGAAAAGAAAATTGTTTAATAATATTAGATATTCCTAGACGTTAACTTAGAAATAGAAGAAAAAAAAATGAAATTTATGCCTAGTTAGGAATAGATTTTAAAAGGTGCATCATCGGTCTCATTGTGTCCATGGAAGGGTATTGGTAAAATACCTCTTCATAACGCTTCTTGTTATTTTGCATATTCCTACATTTCTTTAACAGTTTTTATTGCAAACGTGAAATTGGGCCCAACGACACCAGCAGCTGTTTAAAAGTCTGTAAGTAGACACACATATATACACATACACTCCGGGTCAGGAGAATAGCGTCTACACAGTGAGACATGCATGCTTAACCATATATAAAATGAATTATTATTAACTACAATCACTACAATTATGCCATTTAATTCCTTTAATTAATTCATTCTTACTTTATATTTTGATTATATTATTTTTATTCATATTTGATCATTCTCTTGAATTCCTATGTCTTAAATTAGTCCCACATATATATACCCATGCAGTAAAAATAGTTTTAAGGGTTAGGGTAGAAATAATGGGGGTTACAAACAACATGAAGTCATACAAGTCAAAGTAAAATTATAACGATTAACATGAATTTCTAATCTGATTTTTGGGAGGGGTTCCTAAGGCACATAGCGCAGCAGCAGAAGGTTTTGGGTAGAACCATAATGGCATATTCTTATGTTATTCTACATGGAGGGTGGGTCAAGAGGGAAGAGCACAACCACCTTGCTCTTCACAGTAGGTAGTGGACCTTAAGTTCCGTCCGGGTTTGTAATTCCGATCCCAGTTCCCGTAAATCTGTCTACGATTTTGTTAGGTGACGGAGTTCGTTTTCGCAGCACAACACCCACCCCATTTTCCTGAGCCTAGCCGGCCAACCTTTAGTGGACAGAGAGTGCTGACGAGACGACACTTCCCGTGTCCGTTACAGTGTATTGAATCGGCGGTGATGGCCGACACAAAATATATCTATATAAATTGTAATATTATATATTTGTATGTATTAAGTTTATTCAAGCATTTATTTATGTACAGCAAGTGTGTCTATGAGCATATGTAATATGTACGTGTGTGTGTGTGTGTTCGAAACCATAACCGTTTATTTTTTATTTGAATAACCATTTGCTTAATATTTAAGAGGACTCGCATTTACCTTTACCCGTTCGTAGTGTGAAGAACACAACTTTTGTATCGGGTAAGCTGTGTAAGCTACGGATAGCGGATAGCGGGTATATGCGGGTAAGCTGTGTATCGGGTAGCATTTAGCGTGTGGTAAGCGGTTCAGCGTGGGCTCGTTTGCGCGCATGCCGCGTGGCATTGCTTAAAACCAAAGCAAGAGTTAGAATTGTACTCTCAAATCATCGAACAACGAAACGGTTAAGAACACCCCCGGTTAACACCCCTGCCTCCGGAATCGCCGGCCGAGACAAAGGCGAAGGGGAGTCCGCACAGGAACACAACGAGTAGGGCGTACCGCATGATGAACTGATAAAAAGGAACTCTGTGTCGGATTGCTGCTGGAAGCTTGACTCCACCGAAACTGATGCTCTATTCCGGCCCAGAACAGCGCTTATATAGCATTTACTATGGCCCAAAATCCAACCGAGTCAAGCTGCTGCACCCGGAACCTGGTTCAGCATAAGCATCTGAAGCTCTCGGCTCAGCACAAAGCCATAGATCTTGAGAAGGCAGCTGCACCTGCAATCACTGCCAAGGTGCAGCACACGGGGGCAACACTGGCCATTTGTAAACTGTTGAGCCACTGCCTCTTCATTAATTATGTGCCACAAACGCCCTCGGCCTGGCACTTGTAGCTCTCCGTAGCTCTGTCACTTATCACATAATATTTGCATAGCTCTTGATACCCTCTAGAAGGGGGTAATGGTGGTGTGGAGTAGTGCGAATGTACTTACTACAAACTACATTATTCTAGTTTTAAATGATTTAAATCCGCAATGCTAGCATTCGCTTTTCTTTCTTCCCGCGTACATTTGGTCAGCAGTCAGTGCTGTGAACTTTTTAGAGGAAAGGAAGTTGTTCTGTGGTCCAACATGAAAAAAAAGCTTTTAAAATTGGAGCTTTAAGTCGAACTTTAAAACTAGCCAGAACTAGCTATAAAATAGCTGTGTTTGATCGATGAGCGTTTTCCTCAATATAGTTGTTCAAGGATGGGGGTGTGTCAATCCGAATGGCCCCTTCTTAGGGCAATTCTTCTAGGGCATGGGATTAGCCGATGTCAAATACAAATTACTCTTATAAAATTAAAATTATAAAATTTATTTACGAACTAAAACATTAATAATACCCAACTACATATTTGAAAATAAAAGAATATAAATATAGGTAAATATAAATAAACGTAAATAAAACAATTGAGATAAAAGTGCAAATAAATATAAATAAAACGAGAAGGAACGTATGAGTCGCTTCTGGGGACGCGACTCTATACCCGTACTCAGTCAGTATATACATTATTGAGCTTATGATTTTAAAGAATTTTAGAAAAAAAAAATTTTACATTTTACATTTTTTTGCTACATATGATATCTACATCTACATATACAATGTATATTCTACATCTAACATGTAGATTGTACATGTTCCATTCATATTCTATATTCTATTCTATTCTCCTCCGTAAGGGGTTGCTCGCGCACTGAACGCGGCAGAGTGTGCGAGCGAGAAGGAAAATGAGTTGTGTTGTCATGATCGGGAGGGGGAGGGGAAGCAACTGAAAATTTCTTCATTCTGGCTATAATTATGATCCGATCTGATTCAGATTCGGCAATCTAGTAGATATGGGCATTCTCTACGATACTGCGTTTTTAGTTTTTATCGTATCTTTAAAACTGTGCCTGCCACAGATTTTCGTCCTTTGTGTGGGCGGAAGGGGGCGGGGCGAAATTTTGAAATACACTTGTAGCAGTGTGATATCACAAGAGTTTCCAGACTACCAAATTTGGTTGCCCTAGCTTTTATAGTCTCTGAGATCTAGGCGCTCATCAAGACGGACAGACAGACAGACAGACGGACAGACAGACATGGCTCTATCGACTCGGCTATTGATGCTGATCAGGAATATATATACTTTATGGGGTCGGAAACGTTTCCTTCTCTGCGTTACACACATCCACTTTTACCACGAATCTAATATACCCCTTAACTCTTTTTTAAGTACGGGTATAAAAAAAGCAAAATAGCACAAGAAGAAAATACCAGAAGACCGCCAAGAAGTCGCCAAGAAATGAAATGCAATCCAATAAACCAAAAAAATAAAATAAAAGCCTCCACTGGAACAAGCAAAAAGCAGTTTAATTTTCAGAGGTTTTCCTCCGCTCATCAGATCAGAGCAGAGCAGAGCGGGGAGTGTTCTGAATATATGTATTAAAGGTATTATAGGTAGATAATTGTACACTCTCTATGAGCTGTTTTAGAGCTTTTCTGTGCTGCTTTCTGAGGCATATGCGTGAAATACAGTGAATGGATTACCTTCAGGCGTATCTATTAGAAGTTGCTGAGACTTCGAAGTCAGAAGTGTGGCGTTCTGCTGCATTCAATTTGAAAGAAAATACAAAAAATTCTACCAAAACATAAACCGACAAAAATCAATAGAGTTCGCATGTGTTTTACTTGCTTGGAAAAGTATTTCATCTAGTTAGCATTTACTTTTCTGTTCGTATCGTTTGATTTGAGGCTGGGCAATATTTCATTCTAGCACTGACTTTGGAGCTGTACGCTTGTTTTTATATTTTTGTATTTTTAGTATTAGCGTAAAACAAAATTTCTATCGTTTTACAAATTTTAAGTATCTAAAAGTATCTAATTGTTTCAACAAAATTTCCATCCACGTTCGGACGAAGTCACGCAACTGGGGACAGCTCCGACCATGGCAGCAGCCAGATCTGCTGCGGCTGCGCCCTATCCGGCACCTGCTTCACATCCACCCGCTGGCCAGCCAAAGAGGAATATTCTTCCTCGCGTCGCAGGACTCAGCCGTGGTCAGGCCCCCCCTCAAAAAGTGCAGAAATTGACGCCACTGGCTTGGCCAGTACCCAACAAGAAGGCGTCGCCCTCACAATCGCCGAATCCGGCGGACTACACTGATGGACATGATGGTGATGATGAAATGATGGTGGACTCCAGCGATAACTGGAGCAGCTGGACGACTTCATGCGATAGCTTCACCTCTATGCAGCCCTACAGCGATAACTGGAGCAGCTGCAGCTGGAGCAGTACCTCTATGCAGCCCTCTATCGGCCGCTACTCGAACGCCAACGAGCTGTCAACGATGTTGTCCTGCTTGAGCTCCGATGCTACCGCAACGCCGTCGATGGGGTCCTGCTTGAGCCTCAATCGCACCGCAACGCCGTCGATGAAGTCCTGCCCGAGTCCCCCTAGCCTCTCGGCCCAGTCGACGCACTCGATGGTGACATGCCTGACCTCCGATGGCCACCTAACAGAAACGAAAATGCCCGAAAACGGAATTCCCGACAATGGATGGACTTCGCCGATGGTTGCAGCCATATCCTCGCTGCCCATTCCCCCCACAGGTGTCATGCGGCACGCAGACAGAGGAACCGCCATCGACAAGTGCCCGTGGGCGTCGGTTCAAGGCCAAGAAGTGGACGACACGTTTGGCCGGGGGACGGGCAAAGTCTTCCAGAAAGGTCAGAGCGGCACTGAATGAATGGACGCCGATGGTGGAAAAGCTACTGTTGGCAGCCATATCCTCGCTGCCCATTCCCCCACAGGTGCCATGCGGCACCCAGGAAGAGGAAACGCCACCGAAGGTCAGAGCGGCACCGCGAGTGGACGAATCAGAGTCGGGCATGCTCAAGAAAATCCTGGTGGCAACAGTGCAGGTATTCCTGTTCGTCGGGATGAGCATTGCCCTGTGCATTCCGGATGCGGATTGCCCCTCGTTACGTGGCCAAGATCTATAAATTTTATGTGTTGTGAAGGTTGCAGACCAAAAATACAAAATTTAGAATGTCTGGACAAAAATTGTATTAAGAATTTTTTTTGGGAACAGTCTTCTTATTTTATCGCAAAAATATTGAACCTTCCCCACTGTACATGCATTCCATAGAGAGCCCAAATGCAAGATCAGAAGCTTTTATCTTGAAAAGCTCTCTCTTCGAAATTGCACGTGCGAGCGCCGTTCACATGTGAGCTTTTCTCTCCCGCAAGCATAGCTACGGCTAGCCCTTCGAGAACCTTCTTAGCTCTCTCATACCCAGCTTTTGGAGGGGTAAAATAGTTAGGCTAAGTGCATGCTGCACAGAACAAAAGTGCATTCAAAGTTGGAAGACTTAATTAATGTGCGTACAGAACATATAAAAAGAAAAACGTGGTGAAAATTCTGCAAAACCATAAAAGGGAACATAAACCCAATAAAAACCATTTGAAAAGTGTTGTGGCTGCAAAGAACAAAAACTACAAACCAAACCCTGGATAAGGTACGCAAAGAAAATGAAAAAGTGACCTTATTACATAATTTCACGTTCCTGGACAAGGAACTACCGAAGAAAACCGCCGAGAAAACCATCGTCATATGGGATAATCGACCCACCAAGCAGACACCAACTACAAAGCACCCAGAACAGCAGAAAGGCCATGATCACAGCAGCAGTAGAAAATATAACGTTACCGACGCCACGCTAAAGTGACGAGATTAACACCGACGAATCCAAAGACTCGGCAAAAGCCCAAGGACAGGATAACCCGGTAAAAAGGCGATCCTCAGCACCCGCCAAGCGACGCCACTAATCTCTCCATCACCCACCCGGCAGAAAGGGGGGGGGGGTGTAACGAACCATGGTTCTAGCCATGGCTCGTCACAAACGGCGAAGGGTCAGCGCATCCACGCTGGCGGGAGACAATAACCAAACTGATATACACCGAGCTAGCGAACCATGGCTCTAGCCACGGTTCTCCACAAATAGCGGTGTGTCAGCACCTTGGAAATAAAATGGTCTTAAGCACACAATTAATTAAGAACTCTCGATCAACAACACCCCACCTCTTGAGACAATTGTGAAATCAGCAGCCTACAATAAGCCAAGCCGACACAATTTCGCAATGAGAGATATCATTGGCGTTATTTCACAATAGGTCAAGCTAGCATAAAATTATCGACCTACCGACCCAAATTCAGATATCACCTTACCCAACTGCAGCCCGCACCTTCCGGGATGCAGCCTCAGCAAAACCACCCTGACCCACTAACAATTGTCAACGAAGCACAAAGCTTCGACCCACTTACCGCGCTCCACAATTATTGTTATCCAATAACCTTAAGTCAGCAAGAATTAATTATTTCCGGGTCTCAGGTGCTATCGCCAGCTGCATAAAAGTGCCAAGATCGGCTGAAAGAGTAGGCAGTCCATCAGCCCGAATACAAGACACTGTGCTACGCAGTCCCTCAGTCACACACCCAAGACACTGTACTACACAGTCCCTCAGTCACACACCCAAGACACTGCACAAGGCAGTCCCTCAGTCACACACCCAAGACACTGTACTACGCAGTCCATCAGCCCAAACACAAGACACTGCACAAGGCAGTCCCTCAGTCACACACCCAAGACACTGTACTACGCAGTCCCTCAGTCACACACCCAAGACACTGCACTAGGCAGTCCCTCAGCCAAAACACAAGACACTGCACCCCCAGTCCAACGGCTCCAAGGCAAAGTAACAAGATCCGCAAGTAATCCATCGTACACAAACCCACAAAGAATTAAGTAATAAAAATAATAAACACCAGCAAAACCAAAAACCACGATCTTCTTGAAGTATTTTTGTCAGCAACAAAACGCTCCTCCTGTGTCCTACCTCTCTTTCGGTCAGACAAGGCCGCTCCGAACCTGAAAGTCACCTGCGATCTACAAATTGTCTTGTAGAGGACCCTGGACAGGCTGATGCTTACCTCAGCCTGAAATAGGACCTCACAATCTTATTATTATTTATTATTTACACAATTATTCATTTTATTTATTTTTGAAATATTCAAAATATTGTTTCGCTCTCACACGGCCCTCTTCCTTCTTGTTGATTCGTTTTTTTAACGGAATTAATGGTGTTCCATGTGCTACATGGATTACATTGTAAATTTTATTTATATTGATTGTAAATTATAACTAATGAACACAAAATTTAATTTGGAGATAAGTCAGCCCCGGTGACTGTGTCGGTTTGGGTTTCACCATCGCAGTTCTCCTGCTCAGCCTCGGGGAGCGAGGCTTACACGATTAGGGGTCCTTCAGTTTGTCCGTTACTGGTTCCGCCAGTTTGTCCGTTACTGGTTCCTTCAATTGGTCCGTCAATGGTGCGTGGGGCTGAACGAGTGCGCACCTTTCCCGTCCCTAGCTTTTTTCCCGAGCGGAGTGGCATGCCCGGGATGAGGGGCTCATCGACGCTGCTGCGAAGATCAGTATATTTCGACCTGTACGGCGCGAGGCGGCTGCTCGCTTGAAGGGCTGCTTATGGGCAGCTTGGTGACAAGGCCGTCAATGGTGCGTGCCTCATCATTGTAAGCAAATTAGTGGGCTAGGGAATCGGAAATGGACTACACCCTCTGCCTACTGTAACAAATGCATTCCAACTCATTATTCTCAGGCGCGGTGTTGGGCATGGGAGAGAGAGGAGAACGCTGTATATTCCGGCTCAGGCTCGTCGGCTAGGAGGGTGGTGGTCTTGCTCCACTCCCATGATTGGCCTTTCTTCACTTTAATATTCTAAATAAGTTGCCTGCTAGGAACAAGCGAAAACCGGAATAGAGAATCCCACTTACTTCCGACCAACAAACATACTAAAGGGAATGGAACTATTCCGCTGCACCTGCTGGTTCTCCTACTACGACCTCAGGTGTTGATGAGGCGTAACATGCCCACCCTACCGTTGGCCATTCTGCCCCCTGGCCCACATCCGAATGGCCCCTTTGTTGAGCTACTGAGCTTCTTCAGTAGCGTTGTATTGCGATATTATTAAAAAGGCGATGATTGTTCAATATATATATTCACAGTTATTGTGGTGAAGTAAATAAGCGATACAGAGTCGAAGGATAGTTAGCTGGATTCAAGACGGGGTCAGATTGAAGACGCGGGGGTCGGTTAGACGGTGTCGGATTGAATAGCTCGATTCCAAGACGATGCGCAGTGATTGCAAGATCAGGATTCAAAGGGCAGGCGGGCGAACTGCCCACGCTGGAGGGAGAGAAAGGAGGGAGAGAGAGGGAAGGAAAAAAGAAGTGTGGGATGAAGAGGCGAAAGAAACGGCTCAGGCTGCGTGCCGTGAGGGAGCAGGGTGAATGCGTGCTGGGTTTGTAGGTAAATGACAATTTAGTACAGTGGGCAGTGCAAACAACGAACAATAATAAGGACCTCTGCTGCTCTGGCCCACATTTGGCCACTATTTGGCCACCCTTCTTAGGGCAATTCTTCTAGGGCATGGGATTAGCCGATGTCAAATACAAATTACTATTATAAAATTAAAATTATAAAATTTATTTACGAACTAAAACATTAATAATACCCAACTACATATTTGAAAATAAAAGAATATAAATATAGGTAAATATAAATAAACGTAAATAAAACAATTGAGATAAAAGTGCAAATAAATATAAATAAAACAAGAAGGAACGTGTGAGTCGCTTCTGGGGACGCGACTCTACTTTATACCCGTACTCAGTCAGTATATACATTATTGAGCTTATGATTTTAAAGAATTTTAGAAAAAAAAAAAATTTTACATTTTACATTTTTTTGCTACATATGATATCTACATCTACATATACAATGTATATTCTACATCTAACATGTAGATTGTACATGTTCCATTCATATTCTATATTCTATTCTATCTCCTCCGCTAGGGGTTGCTCGCGCACTGAACGCGGCAGAGTGTGCGAGCGAGAAGGAAAATGAGTTGTGTTGTCATGATCGGGAGGGGGGAGGGGAAGCAACTGAAAATTTCTTCATTCTGGCTATAATTATGATCCGATCTGATTCAGATTCGGCAATCTAGCAGATGGGGGCTTTTTACCACACTGCGCTTTTAGTTTTATCGTATCTTTAAAACTGTGCCTGCCACAGATTTTCGTCCTTTGTGTGGGCGGAAGGGGGCGGGGCGAAATTTTGAAATACACTTGTAGCAGTGTGATATCACAAGAGTTTCCAGACTACCAAATTTGGTTGCCCTAGCTTTTATAGTCTCTGAGATCTAGGCGCTCAACAAGACAGACAGACGGACAGACAGACATGGCTCTATCGACTCGGCTATTTATGCTGATCAGGAATATATATACTTTATGGGGTCGGAAACGTTTCCTTCTCTGCGTTACACATCCACTTTTACCACGAATCTAATATACCCCTTAACTCTTTTTTAAGTACGGGTATAAAAAAAACAAAATAGCACAAGAAGAAAATACCAGAAGACCGCCAAGAAGTCCCAAGAAATGAAATGCAATCCAATAAACCAAAAAAATAAAATAAAAGCCTCCACTGGAACAAGCAAAAAGCAGTTTAATTTTCAGAGGTTTTCCTCCGCTCATCAGATCAGAGCAGAGCAGAGCGGGGAGTGTTCTGAATATATGTATTAAAGGTATTATAGGTAGATAATTGTACACTCTCTATGAGCTGTTTTAGAGCTTTTCTGTGCTGCTTTCTGAGGCATATGCGTGAAATACAGTGAATGGATTACCTTCAGGCGTATCTATTAGAAGTTGCTGAGACTTCGAAGTCAGAAGTGTGGCGTTCTGCTGCATTCAATTTGAAAGAAAATACAAAAAATTCTACCAAAACATAAACCGACAAAAATCAATAGAGTTCGCATGTGTTTTACTTGCTTGGAAAAGTATTTCATCTAGTTAGCATTTACTTTTCTGTTCGTATCGTTTGATTTGAGGCTGGGCAATATTTCATTCTAGCACTGACTTTGGAGCTGTACGCTTGTTTTTATATTTTTGTATTTTTAGTATTAGCGTAAAACAAAATTTC